AACTAATGGAATCATGGAAGGGTTTGGGTTGGAAAGGACCTTAAAGCTCATCTTGTTCCACCCCCTGCCATGGGCAGGGACACCTTCCACCAGCCCAGGTTGCTCCAAGCCCCGTCCAACCTGGCCTTGGGCACTTCCAGGGATGGGGCAGCCACAGCTTCTCTGGGCAACCTGTGCCAGGGCCTCCCCACCCTCACAGGGAAGCATTTTTTCCTAATATCCCATCTAAACCTGCTCTCAGCTTGAATCTATTTATTTCAGCAAGATTTCCCAGTCAGAGAGTGATATTTTCACGTTGGTTTTTAACTTTTTTTCCCCACCATGTGAAGCAAATCGGTTATTTCAGCAAAAATTGAGGCACAGTTGCCTGAAAAGAACTTCTCTGCCTTTGAAAGTGAACAGAAAGACCCAGGAGAGAACAATGTGAAGCCCAACACCCCATGGCAGGATTTGCACCAGCCTCCAAATGTGTATTTCAGACTCAGATCTGCCAATGAGATTGGCTTAATGAATGAGGCTTTTGCAGTTTCCAGGAGGTTTCAGAAGCTTTTTGATGTGGCCATCTGATATATTAGCAATGGCTCTGCTCTTAGAACACACCATACCCATGTTCAGAAACTGCTCAAGTGCAGTCAAGACTTGCCTGAGAAGTGCCCGTGTTGGGAGGACCAACATTTCACCAAGAAACGAAACTTTCTTGAGAGGTCTTTCCCAGGGAGAGAGCTGTGATCACTGAGTATGAAAAGTGCTCTGAGCAAATCAAACTTCCACTTTTCGAAGCCACGAGAAGCCCCCATGAACATCTTCCCTGCAGACTTTACATTTGTTTGCTGTGCCTGCTTCTAATTTTAAACTTTTTTTTCCCCCCTCTCTTATATTTAGCGCCGCAATCATAACTCACATTACCAGGCATCAGGCTGCTCCACTTGTTCCGGGCATTCCCAGGCTCCTGTGGACACTGTGGATAGAGCAAGTTTGCCCCTTGGAAAGGGGCCAGCCTAAAAGAGATAAGGAACCAAAGAGGAGACAAAAATAAAATTAAGCAAAATCAAAGAAAATAGGTGATTCCAAGAGTAGAGATTTTTCACAGTGAGCCTGGAGATGCCCAGTTGAACCCCGTGGATGCCTCCATGACTCACAGAAGAGCTTGTGCAGGCAGCTCTGGGGGGCTGTTCCTCACCAACAGGCTTGTCTTGGGAGAAGACTTGTCAATATTTAGAAAACCAAAGCTGAAGTTCTTTGCTTTGGAGATAACACAGTCACAGAAAACAGTGTTGGCTATCAGGGGCTGCCTGCAGCACGTGGAGATTCACAAAGAACAACAATCCCGAAGGACAGAACAACATGTGCCAGAGATACCAGGGCTGACACGACAGCAGAGCAAAGACTGCTGTGCAGGAGCCACAGGGGCTGCTTTGTGGTGAAATGTCCCCCCAGAGCCAGAGCTTTGCATGGCGTGGCTTTCCAGATTTCCAGATTATTCTCAGAAGGGAAGAGGAACATCCTTCACATTTGGTGCTGCTGTGGCTGTCACAGGAGCAACGACAGCAGCAGCACCAACACTGCTGGGACCAGCACAGGGCTCTGGGCAGCTCGTGGCAGATGCCAGACCACGGCCTGCTGAGATGCACATACCCATCACCCAGCTCCTGTATTCGTCCCACCCTTGTTTTTGGAAGAGCTAAACACTGGTGTGACAGCCGAGGTCAGGCAGGACATTTCACAGGATCATCCAGGCTGGGAGAAACCATCAAGATCACCCAGTCCAACCATCAACCATAACCATGATCACCCCCAAACCATATTCCTGAGTGCCTTTTGACAGAAAACCAGGCTGTGCCTCAGGCTGGAGCAGGTGATGAATCCAACTGTCCCACACAGCAGCCGGGTTTGCCCCCGAGGGTGAAACGTGCTGACAGTGCAGGCAACAAATGAAGCCTGAGAGAGGAGAAACTGAGAGCTGGCTGCCATCAGCTCTGGCTTTGAATTCTCTGGGGAGCAAATGAATCACTCCACTAGCCAGGCAGAGCTGTCATAGATTTAGCTTTCACCAAAACCGAAACTCGTGTTTCAGTAAATTGGCCGTGGATTCACGACGCAACCCGGAGCCGGGTTTCGGTTTTTGGCTGGGTTTGAATCGTGCCCGTCTCAATTTCACAACCAGGAGGAGCCAAAGCTGGTTTCACTGGGGCTGGATGCACGTGAACACACACACAGAGGCACCCAGGGAGCCCTGCTCCAGCTCTGGGGCAGAGAGAGATCAGGAATAAGAGACACCTGGCACCTCACAGCCACTTGGCTCCACTAATTCCTACATTATTTGATAAAACAACCAGCAAAAATGAGAAAAACCGGGAAAATTGGCCACTGTTTGCTTCTAGGCATGAATTCTTGGAAAACCAGGCTACGAGGCAAGGTTAATTTTTCCAGAGGTTCATTCTCTTACCAATTCCCCTGAAAAGCTCTGCCTGACCCTGGCACACGTGGCTCCACCAGCCTGGCCTTCTGCTAACCAGTGTCCTCTGATCTCGGTGGAAAACTGAAGACTTGGTCCCTTGCAATGCATTTCCTCACTGCACAACCCCTTTTGGTCATAAATATAAATCAGGGCCATTGCAAGGCCTTAATTTGACTTCGTATTTCCAGCGGACACTCTCCTGGCCACTTCTGAGGAGTGGGAGATGAAGTGCCCATCTCTCCTTTCCTGACAGGCAGGGACAGCCAGCAGAGTAAGTTCCCTTCAGATCTCTTAATTTCTTCTTTTTTTTTTTTTTTAATCTCCTTATTTTTAAACACTGTTTTCAGCGAGAGGGGTTTTCCACCACTCAGCTTCATCTTCCACTTCCTGGTTACAGCCCTCAGAAGCAGCAGGGAAAGCAACAACCAAAATAGTCACAAGTGCCTGATCCTGTTAATGAAGTGAATCTTCCTCAGACTTCCACGAAAAGATAAATCCCTGGCAAAGTGCTGAGGAAGCTCAAGGAGACCAGGGCTGAGCAGCAGTGGAGCAGACACCTCAGCTCCCCTGGAGAGCAGCAGGGGTCATACCCCTGGGAGCAAGAGGATTTTGGGAATAGCTTTTCAGTGTCTGAACTCTACTGCTTTCATAAGTCAAGTTCAGCCCTCATGGCAGGGGGGAAGTTAGAAACAAATGATCCTTAAGGTCCCTTCCAACTCAAAGTATTCTATGATACCATGGTGTCTTTGGGTCTCAGTAGCTAAGATGAAGTGATTAAGATACTTGGCAGGGGAAACAGCCAGGTTGGATCACCTGCTCCCTCTGGAAAAAAAAAAAAAAAAACAGAATAAAGGAGAAAAAAAAGAAAAAAAGAGAAAACAGAAGGGAGATCTGAACACGTGGAGGTAGAATGTTTTAAACACCACATTGTAAAGCCTCTGAAAAGCACATCTGATGGATCATTTTTTAATAAATGATTTTGGAGCAGAAAGACATGGGAAATCCCCTGGCAGCCCTGGGGATGCTGCAGCATCCCTCGAGCACCAGGCATGACCCACCAGCACGTGCAGCATCACCATCCACGGCACGTGCTCGTCTGCAACTTGTGGGGCAGCAAAGAAAGCCCAGGATTTCTAAACCCACGGCGTCAGCTGCCTGGCACCACACAAAAAACCACCCCTAAACCCCACTGGGTGAGTGGCCCAGCCTGTTGTTGGCTCCAGGGCGAGGGCCTGATGCTGCTGTGGAACGTGAGTGATGCTGGCTCTGTAACTCACCCCAGGGTCATGTTGTGCTTTGTCTTATCTGATTTCCCAAACCGTGATAAACCAGTTTCTGTCTTGTGACCCTTCATCACTAGAAGTGCTTTGTATTTGTGTTATTGGTCAGGGTGTTGGTGCTACATCATGACAAAGTCAATATTCTCCAGAAGATCCACCTCCCCCCACACCCCCCAGTAATACCAAAACTAGAGAAAAGAAACTCCTCAAAGCAGCACTTGTGCAATGAGCTGCCCAAGGGAGGAGTTGCTCAAAGTTGTTTCTGTAGAAAGCCCAAAAAAATGAAGGCAGTGCATGTGATATTTGGTTAATGGATTGTAGATTCAGGGGGGTTTTTTGGAATACTTTTACACTCTTAACTTACCTGCAAACAAACTCACCCGAGACAACCTCGTCCATCCTCCCTGCTCGCTCAGAGCACACGCTCCTCACTCCAGTGCTGAGATCCCCGTGGATTTCTCTAAGGACACAAACAGGGCTGTGAGCATCAGAAAATTCCTGTCAACAGCTGATTTCAGGAGAAAATAAAAGAGGTGAAGGATAATAACACCTCTGTTTGCTTTGCAGAGTGGGAAATAGCCCCATGTGGCCGAGGGCCTGACGCTGCATCAATGGGCTCATCAGAAGGCCCAGAGACAAGAGGGTCTTGCAGCAGCACTGACCTCACCCACAGCTCTGCACACCCCTCACAGAGTGACTTAAAATGGAAAAAACACATGTAGAACTGGGAATAAAGCACAGCTCACTCTCCTAGGTTGGCAGAGGGCACCCTGGAATTCCAGGGTGGGGTATTAAACAAGGATGTTACTCAATCTCTGCCTTAAGATGCAGCAGAATTCCAAATATTGTGAGTTTGATGTGTGCAATTACAAAAGTGCAAACATTTCTCAGTGAAGTTAATCACAAAAACACTGAATCTACAGATGGGAGCAAGTCTCCATCACCTGATTTTTTCATGTGACACTTCCAGCCTGATTTAGATCAAATTGAAGTTCTGGACTTTCTAAGAACTTCTTATATAAGGCTCTCTCTGTGTCATACTATAAGTCACAATAAAGTCATGATAACATCTTCCATTCATGATTAATAACACTTGAATGTTACAAGATAAACCAGTGACATGGGTTAAATTTCCAAAGAGTAATCTGGGATTTACCTGCCGAGGTCGACGTGAGTCACGTCGCAAATTCTGACAAGGGTGGTAGAAAGCAGGTCTCCAGATGTGAAATATCCAACGTCATGCCCTGCCAGCACAAAAAAAACTCTTGAGGAAAAGAAAACCAGACAGTCCAGTTGATGCTTCATCAGGAACTGTTAGTCATCAGTGGAGATGAGAGAGAGAAAATGCCAGCGCTTCAAAACTGTTCTTTGCACAAGGTGAATGAAAGGCCACCCAAGCTTCTGCTTCCCCCAGGGCAGCACTGGCAGCAGATCTTCCAGATCTGAAGGGATGAGAAACGGGGGAGTTTTTGAAAAGGAGAGAAAGATTCACACCACTGTGACAGCCTGGAAATCTAGGGGGGCCCTCTGGGTTATGTCTAGAGCAGATAGTGCAGAAAATCACAGAATCACTGAGGTTGGAAAAGACCTCTGAGATCATCAAGTCCAACCCGTGACCGATCCCCACCTTGTCAACCAGATCAGAGCACTGAGTGCCATGTCCAGTCACTCCTTAAAGGCCTCCAAGGATGGTGAGACGTCTCCAGGGATGGTGTTACACAACACACAATGTCCCTCTGCCCAAGAGCAATGACAGAGACCAAGAAGGCAAAAAAAAAAAAGCAAAAATTTACCACCTAAAAACTTGCCCACTTAAGAAAAGCCCCTTAAATAAGCAGGGTGAGGTGCCACCCTGCTCCAGAGGACAGGACCCTGAGGATTTCCAACCCCCAGCCCCACCAGTGCAGCCTCACCCAGCACAGGGTGCCCAGGATGATGCCCAGGACAAATCTGTCCTCGTGCCACGCTGTGGGGGAAAGTATTTGCCCAAAGGCCTCTGTTTTAGTGAAGAAACAGCATTCTGCTGCCCTGCTGTTTCCTGTGAACCTGCCGCTCTCAGAAGCTTGTGGGAGGTGGGTAAAAGTGCACGAATGGCTTTTGAGTAACACATTTTCCTTCCTGAAATCTTCTTGGCAAACATGAAAGCTGTTTCCTAAAGGTTTAGAAGTACACCCACATCCCCCGGACACTCTTTAGGAAAAGGTGCTTTATTCATTCATGAAGCAAGGGCTGTAGTAAGTGCAGAGTCAATGCCTTTCCACAGCAGTAAGCAGAGAGTGAGTCAGAGCGAAACTGCACCGTCAAGATCTCTGACGTGGCGAAGGAAACACAGGTAAACACAGCAGAGAATCACCCTGCCCAGGCCAGAGTTTCCTTTGTGGAATGGGCACATTCTGGCTTACGCTGGTAGCGACCAGAAAACACAGAGCAGGTTCCAAAACAGGGAGGAGGGGACGGCGCGAGGCCGAGGAGCGCCCGGAGCGCGCCGGGCGTCAAACGAGTGACTTCACGGAGAGCCACGGGCTGCTCAAAATAAGAGAAGTTTGGAAATGAGCACTCAGCTCCCGGGCAGCATGGAAGGAGGCTTCTGGTGCTGCTGCAGCACCAGCTCCTGCTGATGCCAGGGGGCATTCCCAAAGCCTTGCATCCCGTGAAAACACCAGCACCTCAACCTGCAGCTGAATGTCCACTTTGCTGCAGGGGACCCGTCCAAGCTGTTGTTCTGAACAAACTGAACTGTGAGGTTGAAGTTTACCAATACCTTGGCATGGCAGAATTTGCACATTAATAATTTTGAACTGCTAGAATTTTATTCTAGAACGGACAGGCTGTAATATGAAACTTAAATCGGATTCTGTTCACACACTCGTTACCTCATGCTTACATCCTGAATGTTCAAGCAGTTCATACACTGTTTAATTAAGTCATTGCACGGTGACTTAATGTAGGTCATCACACCCTTGTAGGGTGGGAGACAAGGATTTTAGAATTTAGAATTTGGAGGGAAGTGCCTGGGGCTGCATCCTTCACCCGAGGGAGGGGGTTTAGCTCCAGGATTTGGTCCAGCACACTGGCTCCTGCCAACATCACACTCAGTGACTTTATGTATCAGCCTCAATACCCTGATGAAGCTTAAACAGCTGTCCAGCTCTTGGCACTGAAGATTTATTGACCCCTGGCAGGTTCAAGTTAAAGCAAAGGAAGCAAAAACTTTCCCCAGGGAAAAGTGGGATCCTGCCAGTGAAAATCGAGCTTAAAACCACCGGGTTTTGTCCGAGCCTTCTGCCCTTCTCCTTTCTGGTCCTTCTGCTGCCAGCCAAGGGGAAAAAACAGGTGGCTGAGCTAGGACAGGGAAAGAAAAATGGGTCACCAAAAACATGACACACGCCGTGATTCAGATGCACTGTGAGCCTGCAGTGATTCATGGGGACCTCGCTTCCCCAGCGCCCCTGGAAGAGGCACCAACAACCAAAAAACCCAAATCACAGCCCAGGATCCCACACTGTCCCCCTCAAACCCTCCAGTTACTGGTGTTTCATCCCCTTTCCCCTGACTCACACATAAGCACACCGAACATTCCTCTCTCTTACTTGTAAAAATAAACAAAAAAATCTCAGTGTACAAAAACAAACAATACTTTGCATTTTTCCAGCATTTTTCTTGCAACAGGTTCCTAAACAGAGGTCTGGAAACTCAACCTGAAGGAATCTCAGTGTGATGGAGGAGATGAGAATTTAAGGGATTTGTCCCCTGCTGGAGGCAGGCTGGGAAGAACAAACTATTTCGAAATAGCATAAGAGATTTTAAATAAAACCCTCTGATTTTAAGAAAGCTAAATTTATTTCCCCTTTCACTTTCTTGGATACCAGATTCCCAAATTAATAAGTGAAATCTTTTATCACAAGGAAGTGTGGAGGGGGTGTGTGGACTGATTTATATGGAAAGAGACCAGAAAAGAGAGGGAAGCGGAAAACAAGGAGACGTCAGAGGAATTATCTCCAGCTCTGAAGAGGCAACTTTATCAGAGCTGGGACAATAAGTCCCAGTTAAGACAGGACACAGAGTCTTTAGAGCCAGCACGGGATTGCTTGGATGGGGCTTCTGTCCATTTCTAGGAAATGAAATGGGATTTAAGAGCCTGAAATATGGATATTCATTACCTGCTTGTGCATTTTAACCCCATAAACCAATGTTAAAACAGGGGCACAAACTCTGTTCTGGGGGAGCCCAGAGGGACTGGAGCAGCCACATCCATGGCTGAGCTCTTCCACAGCATCCCCACCCATCATGGAACTGATCCCATCAGCATCCAGACACTTTACCAGCTAAAATTTGGGAGAGCAGCCTTTGAGCTTGAAAACTCACGTGGGCTTCAGCAGACACATGCATTACCTGAAAAAAAAAATAATCTAATTAAAAATGAAGATTTCAGATGATTATGTGTATTTGCAGATTAACTTTCAAATGCCAAAAAAGGAGGCAGTGTGTTTGTACAGGTTCACGAAAAGCAAAGCTGCTGAGTGATGCAATGCTGCAGGTTTCATACAAAGATGTAAAAGTAGCAACACTTTTTTTCATTCCAAGGATAGGACATTCATCTAAATATAAAAAGTGACTGTGAGAATAAAGAATTAACCTCACACAGCACCTTGGCTTCTTCATGTGTCTGCAACTTTCCTCTTCAGCTGCATTTAAATTTACAAGAAACAAGTAATGAAAAAAAAAAAAATTGCAGAGTCTAAGCACAAAAGAATTGATGGGGTGTGAGGAGAGGAGGGAGGTCAAGAGAACAGGAAACCCAAGTTGACGGGAAACCCAAGTGACATTTGGGTTTAATGAATGACTTAAAACCCCAATATTGCTCGTCAGGAAACGGGGGAGAGGAAATGGAGCCATTTTTTGAGAGTATAAATGAGGGGCTCCATCAAGGTGAAAGCTGCAGATCTGGCTTTATACCCTCCTGTGAAATCCACCCGAGAGCTGGACCAAGAGGGAAGCAGCCCCTTTCCCACAGCATGAGAACCTGCCCCAGCTGCAAAGCCATGCCCATCCTGCTCCTGCTGCTCCTGGCTGCCGGCACCCGCTGCCAGCCCTCCTGCCTGCACTTCCCCCAGCTCCTGCCTGCAAAGCTCAGAGAGCTGAGAGTCAAGTTTGAGGAAATCAAGGACTATTTTGTGAGTATCACCCCGCTCCTTTCTTCGCCTCTCTGTTTTTGCAAAGTTCAGTGATTTGGAGGGGAAGAGCTTCCTCTCTGCAGAAATGATTTAGCGCGCGCGTTGCGTTACGGGTGAGCAAGAGAAGTTCGGTTTCATTGCTCGCTGAGAGACAGCACACGAGGGTTTTCTTCCTAGTTTTAGTTACAATGAACTCGAGATTTCATAACGAAGCTTTGCGAACCTTAGCAGCCAGACTTCCCGCTAAATTCAATCCCACCGAGTTAATCACCGGATTACACAGGAAGGAAATTGTCCTTCCTTCAGGGCAGTGAGGTCCAGCCTCGCCTCGATGCTGGGTGAAAAGGGAAATCTTTTGCGACAGGCTTTTGCTTTGAAAGGACCACAAAAGCGTGCACAGGGTGTTTTATGGCTGGAGAAACTCCACAGTAACTGGACACCTGCTTTGGTGTCTGTGCAAGGTCACTGCTCTGCTGAGAAAACAGCACAAGATGCACTCAGAGCATCTGTCAGGGCATCAGTACTGCCAGAGATGGTTGGTCACATCTTTGTTACTGTTTTGGTTGATGTCAGTGTGTTTTAGCAATAAAACAAGGTAATTCTCCAGATGAAATCTCAAACTAATGTCATGGCTTGTATTTATTATCAACTGAGTGCAGCCAAGACTGCAGATCTAAATCTTGCTGTAAATCTCCCAGATAACATTTGGAAGGAGTATTTTTAACCTCTCAGGACAGCTTTTGAATCCCTTGGTGCCATGGGGTCATTCTTTGTGTGGTGCAAGCCCACCCCACTGCAGCTCTTTGGTCTTTCAGAGCTGCTGGTGCAACAGAGGCACCACGAGAACAAACTCCCTTTTTCCCCATCAACTGGAGACTTACAGAGGTAACAAAACCTGGGGGATTAAACCCTCCTGACCTGGCAGACAGGCTGGGGTGGCTCCCAGGGGCTGCCATTGCTTTGACACCTCTCTGGAGAGCGTTGCAGTCTCCAGCAGCACTCTCAGACAACACCCCGAGCAGCCGAAGCGAGTGTGTGGCACTGGTGGCAGAGAGAGGAGTTTCACATCGACAAAATCAATATCACTAAAGATTGTGATTTCATTGTCTTCCTGTCCTGACCCAGCAGTCCTTGTGTTGCAAGATTATGGACCCAAGAACTGGTGACTCCTGTTCCTGGTGTCACTGTGCTCTGCACACACGTGTGCTGCAGGGAGAGCACAAATGCAAACGAGAAAAGGATCAGTTGATTAGACAAAGTGAAAAGAGTGTTGATTACCTGCCGAAAAAGGCTCACATTTCCATTGCATCCTCCCACAGCAATCAAAAGATGACGACCTCAGCATCCAGCTGCTCAGCTCCGACCTGCTGGATGAATTCAAGGTAAGAATCACAGCTCTCGTGTCTGAGTCCCTGCTCCTCCTCCATCCTTCGGCGGGTGTTTCCTAAGAGAGGAAGCAGCCTGGAAATTGGGGCATTTCCTAAAGTCGCGCCAGGACAGCTCTGCAGCCCCGCAGTGACTCGTGTGCCCGCGGCGGGGCTGCCGCGGCTCCCCCCGCGCTGCGAGGGCTCCGACCGCCGGGGCGACTTGGATTTAAAATAACACCCTCACCCGTCGGTGCCGGTGGCCATCCCCCCCCCCAACCTGCTTCCCTCCTCTCGCCCCAGGGGAGCTTGGGCTGCCAGTCGGTGTCGGAGATGATGGGGTTCTACATGGAGGAGGTGCTGCCCAGCGCCATGAGGACCAGCACGCACCACCAGCAGAGCGTGGGCGACCTGGGCAACCTGCTGCTGAGCCTGAGGACGATGATGAGGCGCTGTGTGAGTGGGGCTCAGCGCCACGGGGACAGTCCCAGAGCAGCAGGAGGGCGGGCAGAGGGTCCCCAGGGGCAGGGTGGTGGGGTGGTGTAAGGGTGGAGGAGCAGGGATCCAGGCAGGCAGGAGCTGGCAGGGCACACAAGGATGGGGTTCCTGCTCACCAGGCTTGCATTAGTCAGTGATGATGCCCAGCAGCACCACTTGCAGGTCCTGCACAAGAGTCTGGCTGAAGAGACAAGGGGAGGGTCTGTCCTTTACCTGGGTGCTGGAGCCACGTGGCTCTGCGATGATCCCTCCCAAACTCCCACCTGGTGCAGCCACGAGTCCATCTCCGGAGTCAGACGGGATGAATCCTGCCCTGGGCAGAGAGCTCCTCACCTGGGGCTGGCAGCAAGGGCTGGGGGCGGGCTGGGGGTCCAGGCTCGGGTCACACTTTCAGCAGGGCACGGCGCTAAAAAGCTCTAATTGCTGCCCCAGAGAGCTCCGTGGCCACAGAGGGGGAAGGGGAAGGTGGGGAACGGCACTGGGGGGGGGCAGGAGGACGGGAGAGCCAGAACCACACCCCGGGCAGGAAACCCCTGGGGCTGAAGCCGTTGTTTTTATCCCTTCTGCAGCACAGATTCTTCACGTGCGAGGAGAGGAGCAAAAGCATGAAGCACATAAAGGACACGTTCAACAAGGTAAGGTCCTGCTCACGTGGCTGCACCGAGGGGGAGGAACTCGCTGTTCCAGCAAGACAGAGATCTTACTGATGGCTTCAGCTTAGGAGGGACAACCCAAAAAAGTCTTTAATGCGTTAATACCTAAGGCAGAGGAATCCAGAGGGTGGTGCTCGAAGGAGGAGCTGGTGGGTTCCCCCCGGGAAGTTGGGCAGAGAAGCAGGAGGAGGAGGGAGGAGAAGTTGTGCAGTGATTGTACATCACAAATATCGTCACAGTCCCTCTAAACACGCTCGGCTTTCACCTGCAGATGAACCAGAACGGGATCTACAAGGCCATGGGAGAGTTTGACATTTTCATCAACTACATCGAAAAATACTTGACAATGAAGAGAAGGAACTGAGGACACCCCTGGCTCTGCCTTTTCCACACCAAATCGTGCTATTTGTTCAGAAATCAGGCTGCAAGAGCTTAAATTATCTCAGGGTTCAGTTATGGGTCAATAACTTCCAGTTCACTATTGTATTTAAAAGTTATTTTTTTAGAATTTAATATTTATTACTTTTAATACCTCAGTGTTAATGTTTACAATACGTTTTGAAGAAGAGCATGAGCTTGGAAAATACTATTTATTGTTCAATATTTTAATACTGTTTATCATAGTGCTACTTTATTCATAGCTTCCAAACACCCAAAGCAGCATTTTTCTGGAGAGCAGACAATGGAGAGAGTTTATACCAAGTGAAATTCCACTCCTGGTCAGGAGGAATTCCAGCTCTGAGATGAACAAAATTTAAGCAAATTACACTCTCCTTATGTTCTATTTCTCTATTTATTTATGCAATCAGATGTTTTTATGTTTATGAAGGGGAGGACCTGTACTCCCACAAACACAGCAACAGCTCAGTTAATCTACCTCTAAACTTCAACATATAGATTAGTCCAGATTAAAGGAAAAAAACAAATAGTAGTGGGAATTAAATGTTTGGTTCTAATAGAACTTGGCTTAAATATTGCTAAATATCTGCCCTCCAGAGCTGCTGGGTTGGCCACTCTGCACTTTCAGAAGTTAATCTTACTATTTTCCAGTCTTTGATTGGGTTTTACTCACTGTTTTATTGTCTATTTTCTTTCATAAGTTAGAGGATATTTAATTAACCACCATTTTAAGGTGGCTTGTGTAATTTGCATTCAAATCCATGAAGCTGCTTCCAGCACTGACAATACTGGGGTTTGGTTTCTAATCCCCACGTGCTGCAGGGGGGAGGCTGCAGGGAGAGCACCCCCAAAAGTGGCTGATTTTAGGGCTTACCTTCCTCCTCAGCCCAGTGGGGGAGAGGGAAATGCCACAGCCCAGAGGCATTTACTTCTAATATTTAGAAGTAAAAGGGCCCCAATAGGATGAAACACTGCCAGTCTGCTGTTTGCTTTGTAAGTCCCCGCTGAAGAGAGGCTATTTATAGTGGATTTATTCTTTGTGTACATTGATGGTGACAGAAGGGCATTCCTGCTGGCAGCCTGCCCGCCTGGGAACTGGTTATCCCAGAGTTAGGGCTGGAATGCTGCTCCCTGGATCCGCTCCTCCCGCTGAAAGCAGCGGGGTGGGCACGGGCTCAAGGGCAGCGTGGGGGCCAAACACTCTAAAACTGCAATTAAGCTTCTTACCAGGACACGTTAAGCTCCCGTTGAGCCAACTCTGAGCTTGTTTTTTCCACCAAACACCTCGACTTCCACGCTGGAGGAGAAGCAAGGACAGCCCTGGAGCCGTGGTGAGAGCCAAGAGCAACAGCAGCTCCACTCCTGGGGGGGGTCATGCTGGTGAGGGGGCTTCTGTCACTGTGTGAACTCTTGCCTATTTATCTGTATGGAAAGAAATCTTTTATTTTTGCTAATAAAGACCTCCTAATGAGCCAAGCCTCTGTTGTGTTCTTGCAAGCTGTTAACAGGGCTGTAAATCAGCAGCAGAGCATGGATCCTGTGCCCAGTGTCACCGTGCTGGGAAAGAGCCCAGCGGGCACAGATCCAGGTGGGAAGGACCACCCAGGAGGAGCTGAATGCGTTAATGGCCAGGGAAGTGAGGAGACCTGAGGTCCTCACATTTAAAAGCAAATTTCTGACAAAATACCTGGCAGTGATCTCCCACAGCAGAGAAACACCAGCCCCAAGGTACTCCATGGGTTGCTCCAGCCTCTTCAGCCTCTAATTAGCAACTGTTTCAGGCACTGCCCTTTTTAGAGCAGCATTTACAGTTAAATAACTGGTTATGTGCCCAAATGTCATTGATAATCACCCCTGGTTTACAGGAGAGAGCACTGCTGCCTCTGTTTACCTGCTGGGATGTTTTCAAATTCACGTCTGCTCTCAGTCAGGATGAGACCTTGATCCTAGATCAGATAGTAGACACCAGCTAAAAACCAGACTAACATAAATCAACAACAGAACTGCTTGTTTTTCCCAGGCTGGAGGTTATGTATCTATGCAGGTGCATCCCTCAGCACGTCCTGAACAAAACCCAAGTGGGCATTGCACGTGGGAATTCACAGCTCTGTTGTTAATAAACCCAGAATTCAAGCAGTATAACCATCTCCAAAGTGCAGCCCAGCTCTGGTGGCTGCTGGCAGGTACCCACCGGGTCACATTCCTGTTTCACTTTCGAGCCTCTTTCATTTTCATCCCTCTCAGCCCTTTACTCGCAGGTCCAGCAGACTCCAGGTGTTTGTGACAGTAGAGTTTCCTTCTTCACTGGATTGGAAGCAAAATTTTTTTACTTAATACCACAATTTCTAAGCCTGTTTCTGCCCAGACTCCAGCCTGATGTGGGTCAGTGGAATCACTGACTTTGCCCCAGGAGGGGATTCGTGTTCTCAGCCAAATCTGCGCTTACGAGCACTGCTTGAAGCTTCCCTTCAGGCAGGTCTGCTCCTCACGCTCCCCCAGCCCCTCTGCACCTATTTTCATCCCTTTTGTATAACTTTTCTTCCACAGGGAGGCAGGAAGCAGCTCTCAGAGCCGTCACCAGCTCAAAGCAGGAGCTCAAGGAGCCTCGTGAGCGAAACTGGTGCCTGGGCTCTGCCTCGCGCGTGGAAAGGGCAACGTCAGCTCAGCTGTGGAGAGTTTCTCAGTAAAGCTCAGTCACTCTGGTTAAATAACCACAGGAAGGAAGCAGATGGAATCCTCGTGCTGTACAGAGAACAAAGGTTTCCAGGGACCTGATGCTACAGGAGTTGTTTGATTCAGAAGAAAGAGGAGACGGAGCAAGTCGGCATTCCGGGTGGGATGGCTGCCTGCTCGTGGGGGACCAGCGTGGGAGAGGAGGTGGGGAGAGGCAGCTGAGCCCCTCTGAAGCAGAGCTGGGGAGCTGGGGGGACTACAGAGAGGGGTCCCAGCCCTGGCCACAGATCCGAGCCAGGGGGACATTCCCTGCTAGATTCCATGCAAGCCACATGCAAAGATGTCTGTGCCATTTGTCACCAAAACACGGGGATGTTTGTGTCGTGACACAGATCTGGTGGGCAAAAGCACATAAACATATCTCATCTCTGACTAAACACACGTATCATGTCCGAGAAGATTTAGGAAATCCCAGCAGAAGCCATCTGGGAAACCAAAGGCAGCATCTCCCCTGGAGAAGTGACATTTCCAATGGAGGAGGAATCCCCATGATTCATTTCTGACCATGTCCTCAAGCAACATTTTCCCATTGCTGGACCAGCCCTGTCCACAACAGCCCATCCCTGCCAGGATGCACTGCTTAAGTAAACCCTCTGGGTATTTTTTTCCCTGAACTGGGAGAGTCAGGGCGCTGTCACAAGTCATCCAGGTGACTCCTGGCACCTCCCTCCACCCAGAATTCCTGCACCAGCATCACTCAGTGCCTGTCCAGGCTGCACCCTGACCCAACACCTATGTAGGGAGCGGGCAGACCCTTTGGGTCCCAACATGAACTTACACATGCCAAAAATATCAATGGTTGGGGGGGGAACCAGCAAAAAACAGTCTTTGAAAGCAGCAGCACGATGCCATCACAGACTGAAGCAGCAGTGGGTGAGATGAG